ACACTACCAAAGGTATAAAAATGCAACAGCAGAACATTTACGGTGCAAATATGGTCGAATCTGGAATGCACAGTAATACTATGATATGCTTTAATTGAAACTGTTAAAGATATCCTTGAGATTGTGAGTTCAGTGCTCGGTCTTACCGCTGACTGATGACTTATTCTATATGTTACTGTTTGAAATCGTTCAAATATCAGCTAGATCGTGCATTCGCTGTCAAATCTATCTGGTGTGTGAAGGTTCATTCTACTTCATGATCAAAAACTATTCAAATGTCAGCTGAATCATCTGTTTAAGTCACTCACACATTTCCTATTGGTTACTGTCCTACTGAACTGCTGAGTGAAGGAATATTCTTACTTAGAAAAAAAAGAAAAAAATCCCTTATTTTACGAATACTCTCGTTAAAGCTCATTGTTGGTTCTATTCTAATAATGCAATCCAGGCACGGTGGATTCCCGGTGCCCCTTTGAAGTAACCATAATGTTTATTGACGTTAAACATAAAGTACTTTACATTAGGTGGAATGGACACCAGGAAGCCATGCAGTTTCACGTGTAGTTGTGAAATACAGCAATCGTTTTATCTTGGTGAGTTGAATACAGTACGGTTTTCTTGCTGTTTTATCTCACTGAATTGAATGCAGTACTTGTTTGTTACTGTTTTATCTTTGGGAGTTGAATACAACACTTCTTTCTCACTGTTTGAGTCTTAAATACTCAATACAATAGATTTGTTTTACTGCATTTGAATATAATATTCTTTTAATACTTAAATCTTCACTGAATGCATCAACTCTGATATCTTACAGTGTTGAATACAATCGTTTGATTTCTCCCTTCTCCAAACAGGGATGAGTACGAAAAAATACAATTATGAAAAAATACACATAAAAGACAATAGTGTACGTTTAAATAGTGAAAGAGTATTCCAGTATGATCTACTATACAAGTCTTTGATACAAAATGTGCAAAGTATCAACCACCATCATCGTAAATATATGCACTTTTAAATATATTTGTTTCTCCTCCTTTAAAAACATACCGCAGTTTATCAAATGGCCATTCGTGTGATTTAGTCAGTATTATACATGAACTGTTTACTCACTTTCATTTTCATATAAAGCCTAAACCATTTAACTTATCAACGAAAGTATCCAGTTTCAAATTTCACAAAATTTTGAATATCCTGGATGTATATAAAAAATTTCGATTTCATACATATGTTTCTATATTCATCAACAGTTTATATATAAATATGTGCACCTTGAATACAGATAGTTGTATCAAAATGTATAAAATAAAATAATGACTATAACAAGTATAGTGTTTTCTGTACAAAGATTATCCAGTTGTTCTGAAAAGAAATTCCCATTCCCATATCATACAACACTATTAAAACCTTTTTTCCAAATGTTACAAGAATTCACTTTCGCTAACAGACTTTACAAAAAATGCCACAAATGTTTTACAATTCCTATCTGAATGGGAAACCAAAATAAACATTTTCTTTCTCTCACTAGAATGAACTAGGTTGGAAAATGAAGAAGAAACTACACATGGCACTTGGTGATTGCCCTCCGATCAACTACAGTATCTGCCGAGTTATTCTAAGAACTATAACAGTCGAAATGAAACAGAACAGAAGCCAGTGTTTCTATACATAATCTCTCTTTTTAACACAGTCATCAATACTATTATTGCTCCGGGGGTGATTCGTATGTATATTTTTTTGTTTCCACTTTCATTTCCATAATCTTATTCTGGAAAGTTTCACAGGGGGGCTAAAGGGAGAGAATTCATTTTATATCTCAGGAAAAAAGGCTGTACAGGTAGACAGATCCTTTGGAACAGCTGGGACACTGCAGTTACACACGGTAACAATGTCATCCTTATGTAGGCGAGGGGTGAGGGGGAGAGTTATATAACATGCATCACAACACATGATGGGCGAGAGAAACACAATTTACCGCGTCAAGCCCGAGCAGAGCCGGCGCTAACGGTGTCACTTGCGTCAGATCATGATATGGATAATTATGAATATAATTACATCAGATCAAGTACACTAAAGTTTGGTCGCGTCTAAATTTTGCAAAGAATCTTTGTCCTCGGAGTAGCCACTCTCCTCACTGATATTGTCCCCTTCCATGCGGGCCATCTTCCCCGGGCTCTCGCCCTCTCTCAGGATGTGGCCGTCGGAGATGATGTGGTTGCCCTCGCCCAGGAGGTGCTCCTGCTCCACCGCCACGTCGCACGGGTCACTGCAGGCGCCGCACGAGGAGTTGCACGAGTCGCAGTGCGAACCCAGGGACTCGGGCTGGTCCGACGTCAGCGATTCTTCGGCAGGAGGAGCGAGACTCAGCTCCCCCGTGAGCGATGCCAGGAGGCCGAGGTCCTTCCCGCTGGTCGTCGAGACGTCCCCCATCATCGTCCCTGTGTCCCTACCCCCTCCCCCTCCCCCTGGCTCGTGGACCTCGCTCGCGTCGCCGATAGGCGAG